TCTCTTAGTCATTAATGATGAATAAAATAATTGATAATATAAAATTTATATCTAATCCACATTATATTTATGTGGTTGATTTTTTAGTATAGAATCGTTGATGTTAATTCTGGTTAAGAAGTAAACTAGATCTTAGCTACATATAGATAGAAAGTATCATTATGATGTATAAAATTTATGAAACTTCTAACTGTAAGTACTTTTCACGATTGCAATATACTCTATCGCATGTTCCAATCATGGGTGTAGCCCTACGTCTAGATGAACCACGTTATATCTGTGTACTATTATGTTTGTCATCTTGGATATAGCATATTATTGATTGTCACTTGGGTGTTGCTATTTATTGTTTTGGATTAACAAATTGGTATCTTAGCATGCTTGTGCATTTTTTCACAAATCAAGAATAAAGCTAGTCGGACAGGGCGCACGCGTAGAACAAGCGAGACCACACACAAACGTGGGAGAATCAAACGACGACAAGTTAAGTGCAGAAAGTGGCGAGGTGCAGCTACGCACAAGCATAGCGTTGCGCGAGGCACGACGGAGGTCTAGAGGCAGACTAACCTTGGATCGCGCAGTGAGTTCAAAAACAATCTCTGATTATTTTTGAAATTTCAATTACTGTATGTTAACTTAAATTAAATGTTCATGATTTTTATTAATTTCAATCAATTGAACTAAGTAGCAAATATTCTATGTTAGCTATTTGACACAAACTATTTATTTTTTGAAAATTGTTCATCAATAGTTTATCAATTAGTCTATGTAGTTTCTATAAAAATATATGTATTTTTGGATTTTAAATGACTATCATTTTTGGATTTATGTTTTTTGGTGAACATTGATATCAAATTTTCATTCTTATCATATCAATGATATTGATAAATGTTAGCAAGAGACAAAGATAATTAGATATAACAATGATCTAATTAATTTTGTTTATGTGAAATTTTATAGTAATAAATAGTCAAAATGAAAAAAATCAAATCAAAAAATAATATAATAATAATTAAAAGGTAAACGTATTTTTTTAACAATCTGTTTACTATTTATAAGTAGTATAATTATATAAAAAATATGTAAATTTGATCAAACAACATAAGTGATGATGTAGTATATTAAAAATAATAGCAAGGATGTCGTGAAGATTGAAATCGTTGGATATGATATTATCAAATCAAATTAAGGGAGCGGCTAGTTATACCTCAATTTAGGCTAATTATCCCTCACCTTGATATGCTAGGGCGAGGTATAATTAGCCAAGTTAGCCAAGTAGGTGTTATAAGTTTAGGTTGGGTATTTGCCAAGAACCCCAATGGATCATGTTGAGAGCTTTGAAATATTATCAGTTTAGGTTAGACTTTCATGAAGAACCAAAAGCTGGAGATGATACACACTCGATGGACCATGTTGAGAGCTTTGGGATGTGTGACCTCGAGCTGCTGGTCAAGAACAAAGTGAAGTTCGACGAGGCAATTTGGTTTAAGGCCGGATTAGATATCCTCTCCGAGAGAGGTCTAGACTTCCTCCGCAACTTTGGCCTTGTCCATGCGCAGAGCATTCTCGCCATTTGGGCCTGCCCAATCGTGCTCATAGGAGCCATCGAGGGATAAAGAGTGGCAAGAGTACCCTTGGAAGAGGTGAGCGACCTGATCTACCTCGGAGGTCAATATGACCTGATGTACTTTGGTTGAAGACCACATCTTCTCCAAGCTAAAGGAGCTGAAGAACGGAAGGTTGGTGATGTTTTACATGTTCAGATTCTTCGTTCATGCTATTATCGCCGGCAAGGATCTGATCATAAACTTGTTTGATCATTTGGGTTACTTGGTTAATTATACCTTACCCTAGTATAGTAGGTTGAAGGATAATAAACCTAAATTGGAGTATAACTAGCCGCTCCCCAAATTAATTTGATGATTATTTTCTCTGTGCTTAACGAGAATCACACAAACAAGCAAAAAGCGACAATAAGAATACTAGAGAGTAGACAGTAGATTTGATATGTAACATGGTTGATCCTCTAAGGGTTACATCCACAGCTGAGGAATACATGCGCATATGTATTGATAAAAAATAGTGATGTGGTATAAAAGTTCCAGGTCTTGAACCTGGAACTCCAGGTTCAAGACCTAGGTTTTGTTGACGGTTCTTAGGTAAGATTACCTAGAAGTCCCAGGTTAAATATCCAGGTTCAAGCGACGGTTCTTAGCTAAGATAATCTAGGTCAAGGTTACTCCAAAAAAAGAGTTAAACTCATCATATTTTTTGTTAGATAATCAAATGAAATGCATTTAGATGGTTTTAAATCATGAAAAATTGTGAACACTTAAGATTAAAATACTCTACCTAAACTTCCAATAATAAAAGTATCTTTAGCATTTTATTGTGAAAATTGCAAAACTTACAAATTTGAAATATATGATCAGGTATCATAATTGAATTTTATCTTTATAATATGAGTAATGTTTTCATTAGAGAAAAGAACAGTTTATTTTTTAACATAATTGAAGCTCGTATTTGTTTTTCACTTTAAAAATAAATTTTAAAAGTTTTAACTATAAATATTAATAATTAAAAAAAATAAAAAATACTATGTTTTTTTTTTAAATCCGAATCAAAATATTTTGAATAAATTTTGATAAAAAATTATCCTTATGTAGTATCAAATAAAATGATCATGTCTTGATATAATTATAGTGTAAAATAGAGCACTATGAATTTTAAGCACTATCATATATGGTTTATTATGATAACATTTAATCCTTATTTTATGCATGATAATAATATTTGAATTAAAAGACAAAATTAAGTTTTTTGTAGAAAAATAGAATATTAATGTATATTATAAATAAACTGTAATTAATTGATTAGATAATTTACACAATAAGATTGTGATTATTTTAGTTAAGTGTTTTTTGTTCAGTGACACTGATGTAATATTTGCTGATCAGTTAATATAAAAAATAAGTGAAAAAAATTTCCTATTATTATTCATTGGAAACGTTGATCCATATTTTTCTTTGATGATTATTTGAAGTTGATGCATATGATTAAAAATTATAAAATTAAAAACTAACTAGTTGAAATCTAATGGTTTATACATACTGTGTTGACATAGATTTTGGAAAAACTTAAAACTATACGCTGAAAATTGAATTTTGGATTCTGCATGTTGAAGTGAGTATGCATCGTTGAAAACTAGCCCAAGGTTAGAGAGCGGACCATAATGTGTGCAATTAAAGTTTGTTATCTATGTTATCTTAAACTGTAAATTGAAGTTCAAAAAGTTAATCAAACATTTTTACTATTATACCTGATGGAGAATAAAACATTGTCTGTACACAGATTAGACTTATTGATTTGTAATAGAATTTAAATACTTTTGTGAGATATCTGAAAGTACATTTGAAATAACACAAAGAAAGAAGAATAGTGATTATTCTTACTTTATAGAGGGGTATAGAGTGGTAGATTGCTCTTTCCTATGCTTCACTACGTTGCAACTACTTTTCGACTTGTATATCGACACGGTAGGTTTGCCACGATTTGGATGAGTAGAAGACTGTCTTACTAGGGAAGATACCATGCTACATGAAATGAAATAGAATAATAAAGGATTTAATAGTCCTAAAGCATGTAGAAGAATGTCTTGAGAATGCACTGGGTTATTTTCCAAAAAGGATCTCAGCGAATCATTTCGCATCATTTCTCATCACAGTAAATAATAAAAATTCCGCACCTCTCGAGGGTCGAACATGGGCTCGAGCAAGAGCAGACGCTGGTTCGGTAAATCTTCGTAAACTGTCAGATCGTGTGACGAGATGAAGCCAATGGTGATTTAGTAGAAGAATCCGACGAGAAAATGGCTTCACGTGCTCTCTGTTTCCCACCGCTGATCGAATTTTGGGCTGCCCTGAATCATGTACAGAACAAGTATTGGTGCATGTACACATGAAGAAGGCGCATGAAGTACAGTACGAGTCTCAGAAATACGGCTGGAGAAATTCCGTGGTTCACACTCACAGACAGACGAAAGACGTCGGGGCCACGCTGAGGAATTTGGGGTGGGTGCAACGGATAAGATTCATCTCGCTAAAACGGACGAAATGGAGGTAGAGATGATGATGTTCAATTTGTGGCATTTGCGAAGCAGTCGATTCCCACCGAGAGACTTCGTTGTCTGAGCATCGGCTCGCTCGCAGGAGTAGTCGTCGCTTACTGCGAGAGGAACAGAAGGGTGGGATGGGGCTTGAAGCCAAGCCCGCGCATCGGCGAATCTTCCAGCCTTTCGTATAATTTATGTTAAATTACGCATGTTGCCAAAATTACCTCACGCATGCAAGCTTAGGAAGTCAAGGGCTTCACGTCAGAAGAGCTCAGACGCGATATCTCGGCCAATTGTGGACAGATCCGATGCCTTGCTCTCGGGCATGCTCAGGACATGCTATTTCGATCTCCGAGGGACCGGCAGAGGCACCAGGCTCAGTTTCTCGCCTTCCCCTTCACGGGGGAAGCCATAATTAGACAACCTGGCCTGACTGACCTTCTGGTTGACCAGGAGAAGAGCAAGCCAGCGAGCGAGCACCTGGCTCCAATCCTTCGTCTCCTCCGAGTCGCTTGCGCTCGTTTATCCAAATGGCGACACCCGATTCCGGTAATGGTTCGAACGAGGAAAGATGGGGACCGAGCGCAACGTGGAGAGGGGGCCGGGGGGCTGGGCCAATGGGAAGAGGGGCTGGGGTTGGGGCTGCCGAAGGGGCTGCCGGGGGGGCTGGGGTTGGGCCAACCGAGCCCCGATGGTGCCAGCAGGGTCGTTGGGCGGGTGGGCGACCATGGGGGCCCACCGGATGTCGATGGATGTTGCACGACGGCCACAGTCAAACGGTCCATGGAGGAGACAACATGCGCCGTCACTTTCCGCAGTGGTGGGAGTCCACGACCAGACAACGGAAGGAAGCGAGGGGCTCGGGGGCTTCGGGGCTTGGGGCTGGGGGCTTGGGGCTGTGGCTGGTGTCGAGAGATGGTGGCATGGGATGCCTTGCCTGCCTGCCATGGCGATGGTACGAGCGAGCCACCTCGCTCGGGGTATATTGTAGAGGGTGGGCGTATTTATCGACAGTAATTATCTGTACTTAGCGCTATTAAGCGTGCCTCGTGGAGTGGAGCTGTTGCTCTGGATGAAAGCTGTACTAAATTCCTGCTGTCGAGGCTAGTTCAGCTCGAGGGGACGCGAGCAGAGCCCAGCACCACCGAGCAGCGAGCGAGCAGACCACGCAGACGAGCGCTGAGCTCGCGGGACGATACTCAGGCCCCCTCTCTCGAGGGACAAGAGGGAGAAGAAGAAGAAGAAGAGGAGAGGAGGCAGAAGAGGGGACGAGGAGGAGGAGGAGGCAGGCACGCAAGGGATGAAGGGATGGTAGGGTGGTGTGGGCGAGAGGGCGTTTAAGCAGCGGCAGGAGACGAGAGAGGTGAGCAGAGGCGAGCGAGCAGAGGAGGAGGTGGAGGAGGAGGAGGAGGAGGAGATGGCTGGACCGAGCTCCGGCGACGCTGTCACTGCAGGATGCGACTTCTCTCCGCGCGCTTCGATGCCTGAGGACGCACTCGTTCTTTCTAGGCATCCAGGTTTGGCTCTCATGCAGCTCGGCGAGTGGTGGTTTTTTGGCGATGTCGAACGGAAGTAAGTGAGTGAGTGAGTGAGTGGCACGACATAGACGAGCAGATTTTTATCACGCTCGCTCACGAGGAGTCAGGGGCAGGTTCTAGAGCAGCTGCAGGGAAAGGCAAGGCCAGGCAAGGCAAGGTAGAGAACGAGAGGGCAGGGCAAGGCAAGGCAAGGCTTGGCAGCCGGACAGGCAGAGCAGAGCAGAGCAGAGCAGAGAGCAGGACAGGGCAAGAGAAGAAGACGAGAAACTCTCGACGAAAGCTTCGTCCATTCGTTCGTGCTCATTCGGTGGCCCGTGTGCCACGACCCCCGCCCCAATGCACTCGCACCAATCTCTGTTGTGATCAGCCTGCTCGTCGCCAGCTTTGGCCTTGGGCCTGCAAGCGGTGGGTGGGCGGGGCGTTTGCAAAGCAGGCACGCGTCGGGAGTGTTTCCATGTAAGAGACGAGCCGCAGCAGCCAAGCAGTCGATTCCGTGAGCCAGGATCCTGCCGGAGGCTAGAGCATGGTCAGTACCTTCTTCTCACTCCCGGAACGATCTTGCATGCAGGGATCTCTCCAGTGTCACTTCGCAATTTCCGTAGCTCTTTGCAATGCATTTCCGGCAGGTAGCTTTCATTTCGGGATTCTCATTCGCATCTCAGTAGACATTTCGAACAAAGCCCCATTCTGTGAGTCGTGTGATGTCGAGAAGAAAATGGTCCGGTCGGTGAGAGAGCCTCCAGTGACCGTGGAATGCAGATTTCGGACCAAATTCGGCCCCCGCTCTGCTGCAGCTCTGATGTGGCGCAGTCGAATTTCGTAGTCAGTAAATTTTGTTGTGCAGCTGCTGTGAGGACAGTGCAGTTCAGCTCAGCTCAGGCACCTGGGAATTTGACGTGCTGGCTCGAAGTGATGAGATGGGATGTGTGGGGTGGTGTGGCAGGATTACAGCAGGGATTCGCCGGATCGGCGAGGGCCGATGATACGAGCGCCGCCTATGATGGAGAGGACGGGGCAAGGAGTGCGGACGCCGCCGGCGACGATTCGAGGGGCGAGTCCGTGGCAGAGCACACCACCAAGGTACTCGGCCAGTCCCGGCTATGGTCGTTATTCGCCCGATTACGACGAAGGGCCTCGGCGATTCGCCGGGGAGAGTCCCCCGTCGCCGTATCAGGTGCCTCCGCCCCCTCCGCCTCCGCCAGCCTTCTTCGACGAGAGCCCCAGGCGCTTCGGAGGCAGCCCGGCCGAGCGCTACCCCGACGGCCCGCCCCCGCCCGGCTTCCAGCGCGATCACGACAGCCCCCCGTACCGCTACCACTCGCCGCCGTCGCCGGGCTACGCCGACGAGGGGCTGGCCCGGTTCGGCGGAATCCCGCGCGCCGCAGGGCGCTACTCGCCGTCGCCGCGCGACGGCGCGCTGCGCACCTTCGAGACGCAGAGCCCCCCGCACCGGTACACGGACGAGAGCCCACGCAGATTCGCCGGGGGCCTGTCGCCGCACCATTATCTGGAAGGCCCCGAGGGCTTCGAGGGCGCGTCGCCGCAGCAGTACCTCGAGGGCGCCTCGCGCACCCCCCGGCGCTCGCCGCAGCGCTACCTGGAAGGCCCGCCCGCGCGCGACAGCCCCCCGGGCGGCTTCATCGACGACGGCGGCCGACGGTTCAGTGGCGGAGCCACCCCGCCCCGGCTGCTGGAGGACGGCGTGACGCGGTACCCGGGCGAGAACACTCCCCCCCGGCACTTCGACTCGCCGGATCTCGTCGCCCGGTACGCCCAGGCCCGCGCTGCCGGGGTGGCGGACGAGGACGAGCCCGAGCCCCGGAAATTCTCCCGGAGCAACTCGCCCAGCCCCCAGATGCCTGCCGCCGGCGGCGGGGGCTTCTACGCCGAGGCCCGTGCCCCGCGCACCCCCCCGCGATCCCACTTCGACGGCTCGTCCGTCTACGGCTCGCCCACCCGCGCCTCCGTCTTCGGCGGCTCCTCGGTGGCCGACGGCGGCTCCGTCTACGGCTCCCCGCAGCGCGACGGCTTCGCCACGCCCCGCGGCAGCAACTGGTCCAGCTCCGCCGGCAGCAGCCCCCCGACGCCGCCGCGCGACGCCCGCGGCCACTCCTCGCCCCCGCCGCTGGCCTTCCAGGCCGCTGCCGCTGTCGCCGCTGCCCCCGCTGCATATTCCGAGCAATTCGCCCGGGTTCCGTCGCCCCCCACCCCCCGGGGCGACGGCTCCCCGCCGGACGAGTTCTACGGCCCCCCGCGCACCGGCTACCGGCGTACCTGGCACCCGTCGCCGACGCGGGGGCTGCGCGAGAAGCTGAGGCCGCAGGCGCAGGCGCCGCCGGTGGCCAACGTGGCGCACCCCTACCTCAAGGAGGAGTACTCGTTCCATCTTCCCCTGCCCCGTCGGCACGCCACCGGCTACACCATCAGCACTCCCCCCCGAGAAGACTTCAACTATCCGACGCGCGATCCGGCCGGGGACGACGCCATCTACACCTCCGAGCTTCCCCGCATTTGCATCGACGAGAAGCTTAAGGTTGGTTCGCCAGGATCTCCTTTCCCTGCTCCTGATCCTGCATTGGCCTTGGCTTGTCGCCCGGTCCAGCTTTTGTCCGCACTGAGTGATGCACAGAAGCCGAGAGGAGAGCAGAGAGACTGACCAGGATTGTATTTTATCGAGCCAGCTTTTGCGAGGGTGACGAGGATTGTCTGTAATGGAAGAATGTGAGCGAATTATGAACGAACTAGCGAAATCGAGCATGAGGGCTGTTTTCTGGGAGAGCATGCACCACGGGAATGTTGTGGAGCCAGGTTTTGGGAGGATGACGAGGATTATCTGTAATGGAAGAATGTGAGCGAATTATGAACGAACGAGCAAAATTGAGCATGAGGGCTGTTTTCTGGGAGAGCATGCACCACGGGAATGTTGTGGAGCCAGCTTTTGGGAGGATGACGAGGATTATCTGTAATGGAAGAATGTGAGCGAATTATGAACGAACGAGCAGAATTGTGCATGAGGGCTGTTGTCTTGGAGAGGAAGCACCACGGGAATGTTGTGGAGCCAGCTTTTGGGAGGATGATTGAGCTGCCTCTGGGCGCAGCCTTCATTGGGTGGGAATCCATGAAGGATCCGAGGGGATGGGCTAACTCGCTCGCTCTAGTGACTCGCAGCGTGCATTGTGTGGTGTCCATGTGCTTTGCGCCGTCAGGAAGTGGGACCTCAGATCTGAGCATCATCTCAATGTGTGCAGGAACAAACTCCTCACCAAGGGAATCCTGGGAGTGCGACCGGTGGTGGGTGGAAAGACTTGTGGGCCGCTGTCATCTTTCTTCTGCATCTCGGAGGAGTGGCCGCCATCAGCGTGGTTTTCGGCCTCAAAGCACTGACCAGCACGATTGAGGAGTTCGGCACCCCCGGTGCATTTCGAATCATCGATTGGTTCCCTCAGTTATGCGCGGCTGGCATTGCCGGGGCAATTTTCTCGTGCCTCTGGCAGATGGCATTCAGGATCGCTCCTGTGGGCATGATCATTTTCACCATCTGGTCCGGTGCTTTTGCCATGAGCATTTTCGGGATCGTGTTGATTGCCACAGGGAAGACCACTGGACTCATCGGCTTGGTCTTCTTCTTCGCCGGCTTATCTCAGTGTCTCTACGCTTTTGTCGTCCGACAACGGTGAGTTCATCAGGCCACTTCTGTAGATGCTGGATTTCTGATTGTGAGACATTTCCGATCCGTCTCAAGCGCTTTGTGATGGGCAAATTCAAGAATTCGATGCTGAACTTCGTCGAGAAGTGAACTCGTTGTGTCCTTCTTGTCCAGCAGAATCCTTCAACGAAACGCTGTCCACTGCCCTCTTTCCAGAAGACTCTGAGAAAGTGATCAATTCCATCCTAACCAGGCTGTTGTCTTTCACAGGATACCCTTTGCCGGCGATCTGCTAAGGAAGGTCATATCAATTTTGAATCGATATCCATCGACGTACTTGGTGTCCTACTTCTGGGTGCTGATGGGCGGTGGTTGGACGGGCCTGTGGATTTTCGGCATATCTGGAGTGGCCAAGAAGCAGTACCACTCGTTCATTATCGTGGGATACGTCGTGAGCCTATGTTGGACCATGCAGGTGCTGCGTAATCTCATCCGAGTCGCCGTTGCAGGCACCGTGGCCCATTTCTATGTTCACGATCACGCCAACATGCCCTCGATGCCTACGTACATCGCCCTTCTGCGAGCCTGCACCATATCTCTGGGCAGCATATGTTTCGGTTCCATGATCGTCCCTCTGGTTGAGGTCCCATGTCACGTGGTGAGTGTTGAACAGCTTGAACCTCCTTATCATCCTTCACTGATGCCGCTCTCTGAGCTCATGCTATTCTCTCAGTGCACTGACATGTTACACGTCTTTTCTGTGAGCCAGCTACGACGAATCAGCGCACAAGGATCAGCAAGCGAGTTCCTGTTTTCCTGCGTGGCCTGTTTCTTGCACTGTTTCGAGAAACTCATCCGTTACTTCAACAAGTGGGCTTACATTCAGGTTTGCCACTCAATCACAGATCTAGCCATCACGTACAGTACATAAGAATCGCAGTGCTAGGACAGATGGTTTGCTGGGATGGCCATCCCAGCATATTGCTCCACGATTTATAATGAATCGATAGGTTGTTGCTCCACGATGATAGCATAGATGTCAATCTCTTCGTCGGATCTATATTAAAAAAAGCCATTCACGTTCACGGAATCGGTTGCCTTTTAGTATTCCTCCATAGAAGAAAAAATATGGATAGAGGTATCCATATTTTTTCTACTAGTAAGAGCGCCAGCTGCTGTAATCAGGCGTTCTAGTTTATCCAAAGCCAGCGAGATAGTCCGTTCAAGGAGCACGCAACGAGACTTATAAGGTGTTGCATGTCGTCTGACGCTGGTGAGGTGTCTGCAGGTGGCTATGTACGGGAAACCATTTGTGAGAGCATCGAAGGACACATGGGATATGCTCAAAGCACAAAATGTAGACTGCATGATCCATGACGATCTGATCGGTTCAATCATGCTGATATCGTGTAGTGTGGGCGGGTCCCTGAGTGCCATTGTCGGAGGAACTTGGACTTTTGTCGCGCATAAAAATCTGACCATCTCCATCGCAGTGGTGTCTTTCTTCATTGGATTCTTATTTGTAAGTGGTCCCATCAGCAACTCATTCTTGGTGAATTGTGGCCTCCGTGCATGCATTCTTGCGCAGTGCGTTGATATCGGGTTTTGATTCGGCCTCTCCTTCTCGTTCTCGTTTCAGACATACCTGACTCTGGCAGTCTACGAAAGTGGGGTTTCCACGTACTATGTGATGTTTGCCGAAGATCCCGACTCTCTGCAGCGGAACGATGGACCACTTTTCGAGAAAATGTTCGTGCGGCAAATGGAGCTAAACCCCAAAGAGTATCAAAACCCCGTCGTTCTAATTTAAAACTCTTTCTCGCACCATAGAGAAACTCGCGCATGAGGATTGTTGAATCAGATTGCTCTCTAGTAGGGGATTTGTAGGAGCGAGTAATTTTCAACTGCTGCGCACGGCCTTGTGAACGATACATTTGATTGTAAGTAGCCAGCTGTTGAGTGAGAAATGTCTTGAAATTATTAATGGGGAGACTTAAACTCCCACATAGAGTAGAGCAGCGAGTGTGGCATTTGTGCAGTATACTTTCATGAGTTACGGGTCCGTCACGGCCAAAGCCATGATTAATTTTGCAGGAAGCTTAGTTTAGCTTGTAGAACCGAGGTGGAAATGGATTGTCGAGAGGCTAGTGGAGTGGATGGTCTGATTACCCAACTGGCTGTGTTAACGACAGCTGGAATCATCTGTACATAAAGGGAATAACTCTTTCGGGTGCAGAATCAGAGCCACTCATATTTTCCTTGTTTGTCTGAGTGGAATGAGCCTCCCCTGCCAAAAGCAGTTCATGTCAGCCAGCTTCGTGCCAAAATTGTGTCGAAGCACTCAAAGCTGCCATTGTTGCTGTCATTCTAGGATTGTCCGATTCTCCGAATCCGTGATTTCTTTATCTTTACCAAAGCAGGGCATCGCACTTCAAGCACAGACGAGGCTCGAGGGAGGAGACCCAGAGCCACAGCTGAGTCCAAAAATCTCACTCTCGATCTGACTGACGCGTTTGTTGGCAGCAGTAAGTAGTACACCAAGGCCTACGCTCTAGCCTGTGCATTACCTGGTGGGCTGTGCTGATGTAGAAAGCATGTGTTACCACATTTCGCGTGCCATTCGATTCGATCCTGGCGTATCCAAAAAATTCTCGAGCAATCGACGTCAGGCAAGATCATGAAATTCTGCGTCAGGTCGTTCTGGCGAAGATTGTAAAGCACTTTACGTCAAAGTATGTGTCACACACTCAGCCTCCTGCGAGTGATTTCAACATACTGCCGCAGAATCCACCTTCATGCCAGAGACTGCAACTGTCCCTCACCATCACCTCAATCCCAAAGATGTCGTGAAAGCGAATAACGTGAGCAGCAAAAACAATAGCCGACAAATATCTGCAGACACACCTGAGCTCAAAAAAGTTCAAATGACAAAGGTAATTATGAAAAACTAGGAGATATCAGTAGCAGACCTTGTGATACTCACAACATTACCGAGCTGTCTATTTGGAAGCATGAGAGTAAGATGCTTGTGTGTGTGGTGTGAATGATTCTGGCTTCTTTAACGAAACTCTTACATTTCTATAATCAGAATCTAGTAGTTTGGTAACTGTAACTTATAATAATATCTTGGAAGATGGAAATATATTCAAGACTTGTATATTTCACTATGGCAAATATTAAATTTTGAAGTATTCAAAATTTAAATTTTAGAGATAAATTAAAATCATGTTAACATTTATATGAGATCTTAGTTAAGCACTGTAAGTTTTAAGTTTTTTTTAGGAATAATTAAATGAGAAAAAGAGAAGGTGTGGTTTCATAAATACCAACGAGCCTTGTAAATACACTGTGGACGTAAGCAAAGGTTAGTAGATAAAACTGGCGGAAGTAGTATAATCGAAATTATAGTCGGAAGAAAGGTATGAAGTGTCATCAAGAGAACAAGTAGTTGTGTGCTAGCTTGTTGAACTTATGACAACAATCGATACTCCACTCGGGAGCTTGAGAGATTACACTGCAGTGAAGGAAGAGTCACAAGAGTAAATTCCAGTTCATAATTATTGTGAGATAAAAAGAAGAAAAATCAGATTTGAAAGAGAAATTAAGAGACGATTATAATTTCATGATTTGAAATGAGAGTTATACAAAGTACATGTTAATCATATTTTGTGCAAGTCTTTGCGAACCTTTTGACATTTGTAAAAAAGTCAAAGAATATCCATGGATGGCTCTAACCTGTGAACACTCTTGTTGCTTCAGTGTAAAAAGAGAAGTTAATGTTCCATGTCGTGGAAAGTGGATGATATGGAATGATGCATATAAATACAAAAGAGATTGTTGAAGATTAGCAATGAAGATACGTTTCCATAAAATTGAAAGTCATAATAAAACATATAAAGATTTTGACATTAAAGATCAAGCAGAACGATCTATAAATGATAATAAATTTGTGTTAAATTTTGTATGCATATTTAAAGAAAAGTTAAATTAAAATTTCTTTGGTGTTCATTCTTAATGTTTAACCTCAAGTGTAATCATGGTACACTGAAAGCTTAAAAAGTTGGAAAGAGTCTTATACATTAGAAGTTACATGCATTTTTTTTTTTTTATCAAACTTTCATCTATAAGCATGTTTGAATTATAGATTTTATTTGAACTCTTATATCATTATTGTACACCCTACAACTCAAAAAACACATTGACACACTCAATCTAATCCAGTTCATAGTCGAAACAAGATGTAACGTGGTCCACCCTCGGGATTAGGGTTATGTCCACCGGAAACGCACCCGTTAGAATTTTACTGAGAAAGTGTGTTCGTAATACACAAACCTGAGGTATAAACACCCCAAGAACTATAACCCTCATAGCTGTTATTAGCTAAGACTTGAGGTTGATACTTATTAGCAATTAACCTCAACAATTATTACATTTATATCTATTTCTATCAATCATGTGATTTTTAAATAAACCAAATTATTTTTTATCAATTGATTGTAATTATAATACTTGATGTTGTTTGTTTGCAACAAGTTTTGAATTTTGAATGTTGGAAAGCAAAAGATATGCAAGCTTCAAGTAATATACTTCTTTATCTGTTTCATTTTCTAAAAACTTATAATGTTTTTCATATTTTTACTACATTATTTTAGTTAATGATATAGTTTATACATCAAATGATTTAAAAATAATAAATATATATATATTTAAAATCAAATTGGAATTATATTATTATTATATATTTAAAAATTTGATATTTTTTTGCTCAAAACTTAAAATCTATGTTCGACAAAATATATTTCTTTAACAAAGTTTTTAAAAAGAAATAAAATTTTCAACATTGATCTATGTTACATGGCAATTAAATGGATCAGAATTCATCAATCAAGTTGGCAATCTATGGATTAATTATCAAAACTGGATAACGATGGTCATGAAAACGATTTTTTTTCATAGAAACTAATGAGAGTTAGGTAAAATTATCACTCTAATAGGGATAACAATAACTTCATACAACAATGTTAAAATTATTTTTTAAATAAAAAACGCATCTACAAAAATAATCATGAATTGTATCTAGATATATCACATGCATGAGACTATGAAACACATGTCAAGTGGGGAGTTTGGATGGGATGGCATATTTGTTAAAAGATGAGTTGAAAGTTAATTTTATATAAATAATATACACTAAAAGTATAAAAATTCATTTGATTCTAATTTTTTGTACAATATAAACTGTAAGAGAATGTCGTATTGATATTTCAGTATTTCGGATTTTGAATCTAGAGATGTCAGAAAACTTATGGTATAAACGACTGGTTTATGACCGTCAATCGTTCAGAATGAAGCTGCGTTATATCATTCCATTTCTGCTCAGACTCTTTCTTTTACAAATCTCAACAAGCGTTGAATTGATCATCTACTAATAGTAAACAATAATTGGATTTAGAAAATCGCGAGGCAGATTAATTTTACTCTTTTTATGACTCAACATTCCAATATTAATTACATTTAGTACAACTTGAACGAATTATTTGCATAATAGCGTTTTGTTGAAAATTTATATACGGAGGTTTGGTTAAAGAATCAATGATGCGAAGCTATCATGAGCACATTGTGATTTTATGCCCCCTTTTAAAAACCATTGGTAAAATCCACCTAGAAGCTAGGATTTTACCTCCACGGTTTTCACCGACTATAAATAGGGAGGAACCATCCGTCCCAGAAGCATAAATATGACTTATTTATAAATCATTTGTTAGACCACAAGTAATTTGTGATAGAAACAACATTGTTTTGTAAATTTCAATTAGTAACACATCCAAATTTTTTATTTGGCTTTCAAGTAAATTTATTTTTCATTTTACGAAACGTACTGATCTACAATACTTACAAAATGGTAATATTATTTTTAATATAGATTAACTTTGTACATTTATTTCATAGACGATATTGTTTTTGATAGGTTTTGAATTTGTTTTTTGCCATTGAGAGAAATTGCATGTTTCCCTTGAATTTGTGTTATAGGTACTGAAAGTGAGAATGTGCAAGAAATGTTTTATTTTTATTTTGGTCCTACCTTTTCTTTGTAGAGTGTACTTACGCATTTTGTAGATTTTCTTCTTCATTTTTTCAATCATTTTATATTTACAATTTTCTTCAAATTTTAATATTTTTTTTTCTGTTTCTTATGTGTATTTTTTACAATATTGATTAAAAGATTTAAAAGTATGGTTTTAACATAAAGAATAATATTAAAGGGGAATATAAGGTCAAAGGAGTTTTTCCTATTTTCAGATGTGTATTTTTAACGATGGTGGTGTACGTTGATGTACAGAGTTTTCAAATTTTTTTTTCGATTTGATAGACGCTTCACTTTCAGCGAACCGAGTACTATGATTGTAATTTCTCTGGTCGGACGTTGGTTGTTATCCTGTATTTAATGCATGAAAATAGATTCAACATTTATGTACAGTACATGTACAAGTGATAGCATTTCACACAGACGACAACAGATAATTGTCACATTCGCAAATACGTGCAAGTGACGGTTCCCTATCATATTACGATTAAAGAAAGTTCAACAGATTTCTAAACAAATATACATTAGATTTGAAATCTTTCACATAATTGAGAACAAAGCCTTCGCAGATTAGATTTAGTGCAAAATATTCAGTACAAAATTGTCTTCACCTTTTACATGAAAAGAAAAATTCTCCTTTCTATCCTTTACTCGCTAGACCTATAACCATAATTTTGCTACTATTCATTCTTCGGAGCGTAAGACTACTTTCCGTCTTTGTGCTTAAAAATATTTTCCTACTATCTAAATAACTCGATTTACAAATTTGGATAGATTTATCATTCTCTTTACAAATTCTCCATCCGAGCAATACTATGTGAAGCGGAAGGAAACTAATGACCAAATATAGATTAGCATATTGTGAGTTCTAATCTATCCACCTCGTGTTTTTACATCGTCTACCATTCCCTGCAACTACGACTACGACTGCGCTGTCTCCTCCGTGGTTGGAGAGACATAACCTTTCTTCTCCCACACGCAGTAATCCTTACCACAGGCAGCGACGGAATATTCTTCGGCGTTCGGTGTACTCTCGCCCAAATCAAATCGTGGGCCCAGTTTGACAATAACATGATCATCGATTTTGGCCAAGTACAAATCACCGTCCGCCACCATAATCTGCACCTTGCTGTTAGCTATGATATCATTCCGCTTGCGAAGGGTGATCAGAGCCTTCAGCTCGTCTTTCAGCTTCCAGTCAAAATAGTGATCGTAGAACTGCACAATTCCATAGATTATCAGTGTTACAATCAGCTTCGTAGAAGCAACATTGCACGGACTGAATAATAAGCAGAAACCATGAACGACAATAGAAATAGGAATAATTGATAATTCCACACTTGGCTATAGAGGAAATTCGGCTTCCAAGCTACATCGCACGAACTGAATAATAGACAGAAATAATAAAACGACAATAGAAATAGGAATAGTCAATAATTCCACACTTGGCTATGGAGGAAATTCAGCTTCGAAGCAACATCGCACGAAGTGAATGACAGAAAGAATTATAAGAATAATTAATAATTCCACACTTGGCTATGGAGGAAATGCACGTACGATTTTTGGGGTGCCGGGATGAGTCAAGATGTAGGCGTATCCTTGCATGACTTTGTCGCTGGGAAAGGCCCAGTGACCCTGCGTGGACCCAGTGTCATGGTTGTCGATGAATGTGACGGATTTCTCAGGCCAGTAGCCGATCATGCCGGGGGGCTTGCTGTTGGGGTCACGCAGCCGCCATAGCTCACCGTTCACGGCTTGCTGCAGAATGCCTTTGGTGGTGAAATCGAAAGCCGTCGAGTAGCCGCCAGTGGCGTCGACCCAGTTCACGAGCTCCTGGCGATGGGCGTCCTGATTGTACTCGAGACCATCGCCATATCGCATGGTGGTCCACAGCTCCCCGACGGAGAACTGAGGCTTCGTGCCTTTGATGTACTCGGCCACAAACTCGCCGCCGAATCCTTTGGCGAAGTCGAATCGCCAGCCGTCGAATCCGACCTCTTTCTTGAGCCACTTCATCCACTGAATCAGCTCGCGCTGCACGCGTTCGTTGGTGTGATCGATGTCGGGCGCGGCGCCGAAATCGTCGCCGGTGTCGGGCTGGCCTGTGCCGTCCGAGTAAGGGTCGTCTCGCGCGATGGCCCACGGGCCCCAGTCCAGGCGCTCGTCGGGCGTGCCGCCCTCGAACAAGCACCACACTCCTCGCTCGTCCTGCTGATCGGCGCAGCGATGGTTCACCACGATGTCCGCAATGCACCTGATTCCCCGCGCGTGGAACGCGTCGATCAATTCCCTCAGCTTCTCCTCGTTGCCGTACTGCGACGAGTTCAAATCGTAAAGCTTGCTCGGCATATATCCTGTCACCATTACAAGTATGCACGACGTCAGACGACCGCATCACCACCACGTCTCCACCTTCCGTCTCTTAATTAAAACCAAGGATCGATCGATCGATCGATCGATGAAATGCGTGCGCGTGTGCATACCTTGAGGGGCGACAGACTGGCTGGCCGGTGGCAGCCAAACATCAGTGACGCCGGCGTCGGCCAGCTCGTCCACTTTCTCCTTGACGATGTCGTACCAGCATTCAGTCTTCCAAGACTCCCAATTGAAGGCCTGCGGGCACGAGCGACGACGATCAATCAGTCCACACAACGAACGAGAGAGAGAGAGAGAGAGAGAGAGAGAGAGAGAGAGAGAGAGAGAGAGAGAGAGAGAGAGAGAGAGAGAGAGAGAGAGAGAGAGAGAGAGAGAGAGAGAGAGAGACAACGAACGATCGAATGAATGAATTCTTCGAAGTCCTCATGGACGCGGGATTCTTACTTGAAAGAGAATATGCCGCAGGGGGTCGGCTTCGATAACACCCCCTCGCGGGGCGGGCTTCTCCGAGGCGGCGGGGGGTGCAACCTGAGGCCCCGCCTCAGGGGGTACATCGTCGGTGCTGACGACCTTGATCTGCTCGGGCCTCTCGACCTCGGGGGCCACCGGTGAGGCGCAGGCGCTGATCGTCCAGCTGCGGCGGGCAGAACTCGTCGCCCTGCTGCGGCTACTGCCAAGCTTCACAGATGTCACAGACTTCACAGACTTCGAAGCGGACTTCTGCAGCTGCGGAGCTGCGGCAGCTGCAGGGACGGAGAAGAGCAGCCTCGCAGAAGCCATGGCGGCCTTCGACGCCTCTCGCTCCGATATTTGTAAATCACTCTTCCGACGCTGCCTGCGCTTTCGTCGTCTCCCCGCGAGGCGCTAGATCAATCAATCAATGAATGTGTCCGCTGTGACCGACTGCTGCTTGCGCTCATCTTTATGCCAGTGGCCAGTTCGAGCTCGACAGCTCCATAGATGCCAAAAGCGCGATGCTGCTCGAGCTTCGAGCTGCGAGCTTCTCTCGACCGATCGAAGGCTGTCTCTCCTCCCTTCTCCATTCTCCACCCCTCCTTGCTGCGCACCCCGCCACGTGTCGAGTTCCGCCCACGTGTCGGGAGAAGAGCTTCTCTGACGCTTTTCGGCGGGGTTCGCATCCAATCCCCGCGCAGGACGTGGAGCGCTTTGCGAGGGCTGGGTATGGGCTTCGACACAAGAGCAGATTCGCCGTGGCCGCCGTCAGGTGGACGTGTCGCCCGGTGGTGGTGAGTGAGTTGTTGAGCAGCGTGCGTCTCCGCCACGTGCCGTCTAGCCCGTCTCACGTGTCACTCGATTTCAGGTTATATTCGTCGCTCCAGATCAACTCTCCATATGTCTGTTGCAGTGGGACATGTTTCCTCCTGCCATGGTATCGGATCTTCCCCCATTCCCATGCTCTTTGGTCCATCACGTAAATTTCATAATCTGATTCGTCTGTCTGCGAGCCTGTTTCCTGGAGAATGTAGGGGAAACGAGCATTAGCTCGGATTTGCGTCAATTTGGCATCTGGATCAGTGGAACATTGTGGACTGTGACCGAGTGTTCTATCCGCGGAACTTGTGGCGAGACTTGAGGTGCTCTAAGTGAATCTCCGAAGGTTCGCGTTGTACAGTACGACGCCGAGAAAGCAGCGGCCACTCTTTCAAGTTGCCACCCTTTTGCGCTGCCCGGTGGCATCCGAGGCAGTTGCTCGCGAGTTGATAACTACTGTTCTGCAGGACCTCAGAATTTCATGTATTTTTAATGTATCCTATCGTCGGAAATCAAGCGATTCGTCACTTCATGCAACATGTACCATATCTTTGACCGACGAATATTTCGAAAATAATTAGAGTCTTCATTGATATATATAATGTAAAGTTATTTATCTGATGTACCCTGTAGGAAACTAAATTGATTAAGGTAACTTTTAAGTTTCGTTTTACCCTAGGACAGCACCGAAGTTACAAATAATGTATGTTCTAGTATCAAGAAACCATGTGACAGTGGAACTTTGTTGCAGCATTCATAATTCTGGACAAGAATTTAGCAGTTTCCTTTCTGATTGCAGGCGAACAAAGCATTGCACAAAATCCAATCAACATCCACTAATTGCACTTAGCAATAACGACGAATCCACATCTACGAGACTCATTATACAAATTTTTGTAACATTATGATATGAAATATCATTCAATCAAAATCAACATTGATTATCATCTTAAATATTATGAAATTAGCACTACCATCATGACATTGATGATGAATTTCATGCCCAGCAGTTGTGCAGTATCTGAGATGGCGAATGATGCGGAGATCAAATTGATAACAATGTTGTGGAATGGGTGATGTCATGGTTCCCTCTTCATCTCTCAAAGTTTACTTCGAGACGGTACTCGTTTGGAACCAATTCTCCGATAGCAAGAAGATTGGGCCATCGCTTAATTCAGGATTTGCTATCGTAGAGTTCCACTAAAGCTCTCATCATATGTGTACATGAATACATTTTAGAATTTCGACGTATAATATCGATGGAATCACATCGTGTAAAACGAATCTTGATGGGTACTATCCAACAATTTAGATTCTGATGAAATCCTACCAGGTAAAAAATATATATATATATATATAGTTATGCTTCAATTCTTCTTTCATTTTAAACGTAGAATATATAAATGTTTTCTTATTGATGGTGATATGTATACATATATACATACATACATATAAAATTATCTAAAAAACGTGATATATTAATAAGTTAAATATATCTTGTGACATCTCATTAAATCCAATATGATCGCTCTTAATTTTCATCAACATTTTGAATGAAAATTTGTTATCTTAATATTTAAATTATTTTCATCTCTTTCAATGATATACATTCAATTCATTGATGCAAAAATGTTCATTTATAATGAAAAGTATTTCCTAGTATATTATCTTTCACATCTTCATCAGAAAGATATTTTTTGAATTATTAATATAATTTTGAAACCAATTGCTTTTAAAAATTTATACTCAATTTTTTTTCATGATTTCAATTCAATGGTGTGAAAATAATTTGATTATATTATACGTAATTTTACTTAATAATAAAATAATTTTACTCGCTTTTGCTCAAAACTGTATAATAACTCAGATTGATTTCTTTAAATTTCCGTTTATACAAACTTCTCAAACAAATTTTTCTTAACATCACCTATCATAAAATATGAACCTTGATGTGATAAAAAGTTGTAAAATAATTTATTGCAATAATTTCTAAACATATAAAAATTATACTCATTAGCATTATTCCAGCATAGATTTCTCACATTGTAATCAATTTTAATCTGAAATTTTCATTTTTTGAAAGCTCATGTATTTGGATATTTGCTTGAAAAAAAATCTATTAAAACTTTGAATCATCATGAATTTAAAAAGAGAAAACTCAATATGGAAAATTTAAATTTAAAACATGTTGATCATACATCATTATGCACAAGATTAAGGATTTGAGATTTAAATATATAACAAGTAGCTAAGTTTTGTTATTTCAAACATCTATGTACACATTAATAATAAAGCGTTGGCTATATATAATAAGGGGCTTGGATTTGTTCGAAAATTTGAACTTATTCAATGATTTATGAGAAAAGATTAAAAAAATATTTCTTTGAACCCTAGTTGAAGTCTTTTTCCAAAATAGTATTATACAAAAACTACACATGAGTGTTTCGGTACTTGATATTTGAGAAAAAATCCAGCAAAAAAATTTTACATGGAGAAAGATCATTTAAATAATTTTCCACATTTTCATAGCATTCGAATAATTTTTAAAAGATTTTGAAGAATTCTGATTCTAAAATCCATTATGGACGAAAATTCATTATTCTTTGATGTCATAATCGATCAAAAAACTGATAGTTCTTTAGTGATTAGATTGTACTTATTTTGACTTGTTTCAAAATATATACATTATTTTGTATCATTCAACCGTTCAAAGAAAATGTGTAGTGTGTATTTCTATTTTGTTTAAGAGCCAAAGCTCTTAAACAAATTAAATTTTTCAATTATTTAGAAACTTGATATAATTGAGTATCAAAAGTATTGCACTCATTATTTGTGCGCAAATCTTCTCGGTAGAAATTGAAAAGATAGCATATGCTTAGACCCCTTACTTATGTTCGAATTGATGTAAATGAGTCGATGAGCTGTTCAAGAATGTGGTTAAAATTTCAGCTAAACTTTCAATTTTAAAGCTGTGAACAATCGATATAGAGTCACAACATGCATTCATTTAACTTGATGACTAATAAAACTATTCTGAATGAGTTTACATAAAGAATTACATCTTTTATACTGAATGAGTAAGGCGGATATAGAAATGAATGGTGACAGTCACAGTGTTGTCAATAACCATATAATGATAGTCGATCTATGTATTGATGTTGTCAAGTTTGAATGTTTGTTTCACATTCAGAAAATATCCTTTAACATTCCATCAGAGAGCTGAAATCAATTCAACAGAAAAGCTTCATCATACACATAAATGAATGTATTGGTCACAACAAGTACTCTAGGATTTTTAAGACAGTGTGATGAAGGTAATCAAGATTACCCGAGAAAGAAGATTATGATATGTGTAACTGAAGGGAGGAGACATGTACGTCTGCATCGAACTCATTGCAGCAATTGACAGAACTAAACACCGCGTATGCATGACACAATCCATGCAAAGCATGGCGAGATAAAACTCTGACAACTTATTCATTGTGACCGAACAAACTCAGTATTCATACTACGAAAACCATTTAAAAAGTTCCAATACCTGTCAGGCTGTAGTAAAGATCAAAGAGCATCGGAACAGATAGTTGGATAGTAGGCTAATTTTAACATGCCGAAACAATGGACGCCTTTCCGGATTGCAGCGGTTTGCAACTGCCAACACTCCATGATCGTACTCTCATCGACGCTGGAACCGAAGACGAGTCCTGATGCCGAATCTGCTTTTGTTTTACCTATCCACTCAGTCCAATTATGTGTAACAAGTTACTCTAACAGAATCATTTAGTTTTCCTGCATCGCTGCCTTGATATAACTTCGAAAGCCAACTCGGAAAGTGGACTTCTAACAGTATTACGCAGAATAGCATTCTAACACACACAATCTTGGGTGATACTCAATTACCTGAGCACCTAGAGAGATGAACTCAAAACTGGAGTCAAGTCCCCTTTTGGTTCCTATAACCTCAACCATAATCTCTCTGACTCTCTTTCCCGGTCAAACTGACTGCCACATTCCAGAATAAGGGCCTTCGACGCGCCTACTTCCACTCCTATGTAGCAACAACTCGTGACTAACCACGACAATGTCCTTCCACAGGTGGGTGACGACTACAAAGAAAAGTGTGCACGACTGAATATTACGGACCATTACAATAAGCACTGAGTTGATTATGGTGTCACCATACTGATACAATCTTTGTTCATATGGATCCAAATATTACAAACACATTATGTCGAAAACACAGATGAGATCAGAGAGCTTGAGCAGCTACCAAATGCGATCTAATGTAGTAAACATAAGATACAACTTCCCACAAGTTTGATGAAAGATTCCTTATTCCTTCCATATTGCTTCAAGTTTCGTTATGTTGACTCATAAGCCGTGGATCTAAAACACTGCTCGAACATATGCAGAATGCACTAGTGTGGAGAGCTCGTTGTTAAACACACTCTACTACTGACAATGTCTAACGAATGATTCCTGTGAACATTGTGGAAACAAAGGATACAGGAAGATTCCAAACGATATATCAATGTTCACGGTGCCAAAATCTCACATACGTTACAACTAAATTAGACATTAGCGGTACGCATCATGATTTCCACACAAAGGAAGAGTAAGACCGACTCTCGAGAAGTAAAGGTTGACCACTTCAAACTTTCCTACGGAGACAAAAATTCACCTGGTAACCGTCCAAAATGTAGCCGACTTTCGTAGCAACAAACTTGCTTAGGAGGCTGACCAAGTCCTATAGAAACCATCGAATGACTATAAAAGGGTGCGATGAAGGTACTACCTAAGGTAGATATGCTTAACGTAATCTGAAGGACGATGATGATTGACAAGCGTCCACTACTACCTCTTCAAACACTACTGAAAAAGGGATTTTGGGTGAATGACGTGACTGAGAGTGCTAGACGCAACACATAATTGAGTGCGTCACCAAAGCCTAGACCTGTATTTCATGAGAACTTAGGCATATTGATCTCATTCTACATGCTCTAAATCGCGTATAAATGTTGATATCAGTAGTCGGTTACAAAAGTTGGTCTCCTATGCTAAGATTTATTCCCAAAAGTCAGGGTGCAAAATTCGCTTTATGAACTCGTAAGTCATAAATACGATCCCCACGCTTGGGATAACTTTGTAATACTCCGGCACAATACCCCTGTAGAGACCGAACCACCCTTCAACTCTGACGATGTGACCGAACGTGCCAGGAAGCCCATCCTTATATACAGGAGCTTTTCCGCCTGCACCTTCAAGTTGCATTCTTCTCCTTACAAGGTCGATAGGAAAAGTTGCTGCGAGGGAAAGATAGCACGACCTGTTATGGCCAAATCCACATCACCGGGCTCATCCCCATATTTACAATCTACTACATTGCAACATATAATCAAGCGACAAACCGTACTAAATGATTGGACAGGCCTAAATTCGATCGCAATTCGACAAGGACTGTATAGAGAAGATCTGAAGTTCCAAGCTTAAAAGACAGGGAAATCAGTGTAAGTAAGAACACAAGTAAACAGCAGGAATTACTTGGTTACTACAAGTACCTGTTGACGAGCAGATCCCTGCCAGGCTCCCACAACCTAGACTGACCATGACTGGAGACGACTCTGGCCTGCAATCCCAAACAAACTGGTCATTTATTTCAGGTCTAAAATTGCTGAATATAATTTTTGCCATTTGACTTGGTACACAAACACTGACTTGATAGAAATTGCAGCTTACAACCAAAATTTTCTACCATCGAGTTCTACCCAAGAATGCATGCACGCCCTGTTGCCGCGTGTGAATTTGTACCTCCTCTGGAGCCATAGAGATTTCAAGGTCTCGTAAACACAAAAGTTGATCGCAATATTTGGACCAACACCCTGAAGTTCCACAAACTCACAAGGTAAGAAGTACGTAAGGTTCATAAAAGCAGAAACCACATGTTTAGTGCTAATATATTACCAAATACCATGTCAAAAAACCGAAACCAACCGACCTTAGGACGAAGACTACTAGCCATAAGCCAGTGAATGTAATCAAGAATGGGAAAGCATTATCATTCATGGCATCTTACCATTAGAGTAGGGCCAAGGCCTTTGTAAAGTCCCCTTACGCCCTCCTCCTTATATATAGTCGTCAAAGCATGCGAGATGCCCTTATAATACATCGAATTTGTCTACACAGTGACCAGTCAACATTTTAGAACTGGATTTGAGCAATTCACAGAAATCAACATATGTTAAGAAAAAATTCATCGTAAAGACTTGGTGAACGAGGAGAAAAGATCTGCAAGAGCGGGTAAAGCTCCACAGGTAACAAATAAACGCGATTAACTCAAAGCTAAATGACTTTAATCTGGCTGATGTTTTTGCAGATAACTATGAGGTAATCAATAATTACACAAAATGGTTACCATGTCAGGATCCATGGTTACTAACTTGTAATCAAGGTCAGATCGTCTCAATAGATATATATTGACACCACAACTAGCACAATTCAACTGAGTCATGGCAAGTCCCCTTTTATCAAAAGAAAAAATAAAATAAATACGTTAAATCCAAAGTTATCTATGCATATAAGCCAGACGACCTTCGCAACATGTCATGCCCGAAAAGAGTCTCTAGTCCTACATGCAGCTAGTAACATATTTAATTCTATACGTATTCGTCCCCTGCGAACGCTGGGCCCACAACTCTTTTGAGATGAAACGCAAAAGACGATCGTATGGGAGGCTTCATATCCGTGTTTCCAAAACACTCCTATGGCAGCGCAGACACACACTTTAACTTTCCTCATATGTTGGCCTTGTGTCTGCTAACTGACTACACATTTCCAGTATTCAATCCTATGAGCTGCATACAACGTCCTTTCCAAGAAGTACAACACAGAAGAACTTGAAGAGCCGCATTCAGGTAACAAAAGCTCCTATCGTCTAGAAAAGGGCAAAGGAACAATCCAGGTTTAACCTGAACTCCAATTCTCCACTTCGGTTTCAGGCAATACAGTAGTGGATGTATGTAAAACAAGTCCACCCAAGATGCTACTTGAAAGTAGAGATTCAAGTCGGAGCGCGACATCTCCGTCAGCAAAATGACGAAATATAATAGACATTAGCTCTTTTCTTATTATCTCATCATGAACTGACTACTCATAGTTAAACCGTGTCAATCTGAAATTCTCCATCTCTAGAACGACCATTCCGTTCAACAGATACAGACGTTAAAAGCATGAAAGACTACATGCACTATACATTGTACGACAACCTCAAGCTGCGGCACGGAATGTTCGTCGCCAAGACATGCAAACCAGTTGCATCTCTTGAAAAGGTGAGATGGGGAAGGTGAACTATCTGCATAAACGTCTAGCTCGCTTGTACCATGAAAAGAGGGGGATTAATCAGCTTTTCTACTCTGTTGATCCCTACCCTTGCATCCAAATGAAGCCCAATTGATGTGGAAGTACATCTTGTCCCAATAATGTAAGAACTGGTACCCTTGCAATTTGGAAACGAAACCTTCCTGTAAAACAAGCGAGATCTTTTGAGGAAAACAATCAGCAATCTTAATTTTGAAAACAATATACATGGAATAACTGCAGCCTATCCAGATAAATTTCTAAAAAGGTTCCACGGTGTAGCAAGTTACGTAGAAAAAGAAAAAATCATACTTTTCGTGAAAGTAAGCGTCTTCATTGATAGATACACTTTCCCAATCAATTTTAGCTGGAGGTTAATCTTTAACTTTATGATACACCAGAAGCAAAGGCTACAGGTGGCAGCAGTATAGAGAACAGGTAACACTAACTGCAAACTGGTCAACCACTGCTCGATCGTGCTCACAGGTACAAGACCCGCCAACTAATGTTAAAAGTAGACACTCTTGTCTGTCAACAAACGGATCCCTGGTAAAGAGATCTAGGATTTGAGGCCCGAGGTGAAAACAAACACCCAGGTGGGACTACACTGACAAACGAACGGAAGAAAAGATCAAGAGGAGCAACGACTTAAGAATTACATAAACAATCAACTACAGTGAAATTCATAAGTTTCTAGCAGCAAAAAATAAAAGCCTCCTGCAGTCCCGCACGTTACTCCCGACGCACAAATAACAAAAACTGATAGCAGAATGATCATTCGGTCAGCGGATGCATCTTACCTGAGCAGCCAAGCGCGTTCGGACTAGATCCAAGGGGTAGGTCAAAGATGCTGCAGTTATACCCGCTGCTCCGCCAGCTACGAGCCTTGTCCCCATACCAACTCCTAAGCTCTCTTGTTTTCCTTCGATACCAAGCATGCTTCTCAGGTACTGAAATGGGTAAAAGCACACTGCTAAGGGTTAGTGGACAGCTGGCAAATCCAATTGACTTCAGATTTTTGAACAGACCTACTTCAATAAGCAGCTCCAAGACAAGCGCTCCTCTCATGTGAATTGATGCAGATATGCTCCTGCTACAAAGGCTGGCACCTTGGTAGCAGGAGCATGCCCTACACGGCCTTGTTATTTCTGTTCGTATCTGTTTAGACATACTCAAATTCCTGAAGTTAAAGCCTTACAAGCAAAAGAGTAGTACTAGGTACTGAACATACGTGACCATTTTCTCATCCGTAGCATCTAAGCTATTTTCGGTCCCACCGTTAATGAAATGAGTATGACGCACGCAGTGAATCTTGAGCATTTCTTCTTTGAGAGAATGTATATGTAGCAAGATCGTATACGAGAACTCATTACGAGCGGCGGGCCTATGACAGAAAATTAAAGAGGTGCCAATGGTTTAGGAACATGAAGAAAAATCGTCTTCTGCTGAATTTAAGTAGTCTGAAGAAATATAGAATGTCGATGTTTGTATAGGAGAACAAATTGCGAAACACGTGCAGATAACAATCCGGGAAAGACCAGATGCAGAATGAAAATCAGTGGAACGGGAAGAGAAGTGACAGCAGGCACCAAGATGGTATCCAGAAAGGGATCTGTAAGCTTGAATCTAAGGGTAAGGGATAAGGATACAAGTACTTGACTTCACTATTTCTTTTCCATAAATTGCTACCCATCAAACTACTAGGGCAGGTTGTGGCCACGGCCAGAGACCGTTTCGTACTGGAGGTCTTTAATACTCCTTACCCAGCGGGTCGATACAGAATGCAGGGAGGTTTTAATCCCTACAATGTTCTAGAGTGCCATTAATGAATAAGGAAACAAGAGGCTGAGGAAACAGAAGGTTACAAGGTACGTGAAACTTGACCACGCCAGGAGAGAATGACCATGTAAGGGTCTAAAGTATGGACTGCGTAAAAAATACGAAGCGATTAAACTAAAGCGTGTGCAAACGTTAAAACACAACTCCGGCATATTTAGTTCTAACACCATAGAATGCATCAGTTCTATAATGTTATTACACTTTGGTCGAAGTCCTGACTTACCCCTTTATAACAATTTTGCTACTGGAAACATGTTCCTGTATGCAACTTGAAAACGAGTACATATACAAACGGGAAAAGAATGAAGCTGACCCTCGTGCTTAACTAACTCGTGACGATAAGAAGGGAAATTCATGATTATTGTCTACCAATCCACCTTTACTCACCATCTTATATTTCTCATACGCAAAAAAGTTGACAGATGAATATGGCAGTCGATGAACAATAGTTACTCCATTCCCTTTCCAAAAAGCTCTGAATCCTTCTTCGCGGACTATCCTCGAAGCTTCTTTAAGAATCCGCGGACGACTTAACTTTTCCCCATTCGCATTCATGCCTTGTACCTGCGACGAAAAAATGTCATTGCTTACACTGGAAAAAAAAGCATCCCGTTCTATGAGAATTCAAACAACGTACATAAAAGTTACTATGTTATTTCAGTTATGCCTCCCACCCTTATCTACTTTATCCCAACCATCAAACAAGTTCAGAGCAACCATCAAACATAGGGTCCATAACTCCCAGTAAGCTTACAGAACACGAAAGCGAAATCGAAGCCAAAACAACATTATAAAGACTTCAACGTCCAAAAGAACCTATTCGACAAAAAATGATAACGCCAGTATGAAACACGAGCCTTCTCGGACCTGACCTTGAGTTTCAAGCCCTTAGCATATGCACGACCAATATCAAAAGTTGCGAAGATCTGACCGCGGAAGTATGGATGGACCTGAAGCTCATCTAGAGGTGTACATTCGAATGCGGGAAGGAACAAAAAAACATACGGTCCAAGGAAGGAAAACAAGGAACAGATGAACCCCAGTTGCGATGCTCTGGAGATAGGAACACGGACAATGTTCGGACTGGCACACACACACCCATACACCGGATGTAACATTACATCCAAAATGGATAACCATACCTGAAACAGGATTGTCAGACGGGCTAGGGGGGCTGTGCAAGTTTTGCTGACGGCGCCCGCGACACCCCCCGCTAACAGCTGACTCCCGGTGCCTATCTGGGTCTGGCGCATGGTCTGATGGGCAGAAGCTGTGGCTTCAGCTATCGTTGGAGTGCTGCTTCCGACTGCCCCTTCATCGGGAGCTCGCGAGGATTCTCCTGACGCCACGGTGGATGCCAATGTTGCCGCAACTCTCTGCCCAACCAATCCTCCAACCTCCGCATGAATCCTGGTTTCCCCTGATGTTGCTGCTTCTGTTTGCATTCCTTCCAAAGGCCCACTAGGGTTCCCGAGCCCCCACACTTGCCCTCTTCAACCCTAATCAAAATCACTCCACTTCCCACAACTCATCACTATGCTTTCGCTCCAGCGATCACTCTTCGATGCTTCCACATTTTTCAACTCAGCAAAAGCTCCTCAATTGTGCGCAAATCTATCCAGCAACGAGAACCCCGATATCTCTTCACCGTGAACGTCCGGCACCCACTCCGAAATCACCGCCCCAGCACAACAGAGTCCAATTCGTTCTCCCCACGCGAGCTCAGAGGAAGCCCTTCTCTCTCGAGCACTATCGTCGCCAGGTAAACAAGAAAAAGGGCACGAACTGGCGTCTCTCCGTCCGGAACGACGACGCTCGCAAATTTTCTCTCGCTAATCACAAGTCGCTGCTGGTCACATTGCATATGTGGGACTGACACCTCCAAAGTGCCCTGCTCTGGCCCTTAAATAACCAATACCTACTACCGAACCTCCAAATATGATGAAAAGATTTGATGGCGGCTCCAAAGGCTCCGGGATGTCATCGGCCGACCGCTGCACAGACCTTACCGTCGTCATACTCGCATACACGTGCGCACCGAATTGCGGACGAAAGTTCACGAAACTCGGCCCTGCGTTTGCTTTTCAGGCCTGCTTCTGCTTCTTCATGCCGCAAAAGAGACAAGTGGCTCGGAACATACTTGGCATCCACATTTTATACTGCATCGTACAGTCGTGCGATTATTACACTCCCCGGACAACACGTTGTGACAAGTTGGCAGGTTCTTGAGCTTCCTGTGGCTCCCAGGGCGAAAGTTCTTGCGCACCACCACCAAAAGGTTCATCATGCTAACGTGTGGTCCACCCACCCTCTTAGCTTCGTTCAAGTTCGAACCTCGATAGATCCTCATGCTCATGCTCGGGGAGGGTGCTTCGTCATTTTTTTCCCCGGAAAGAAGCCTTCAGATATCGAGGCAGATAAGCACATTGTGTCTAGGGACTCCGACTTTTTTTCTAATCGTACCACCTGTTTGATTTCAACCCTGTTGTAAGACTTGATTGGGTGGGTCTTCCCATCCTTCTCTCTATATTACTGGGTTCCCTCACCATCTCGAGGAACGAATTTGGCGATGTTTCTTGTTGTAAATAGTCGGTGGATGACGTGATCAAACTTCGAAAGATCTCCTCATTTGCGTTTATGAAAGATTCTATTACAGAGATCATATCGTGAGACATCGAAGGCAATTCTCGTTTCGCTAGATTTTGTTCATACTCAACCCCGAAGCCATATCAAGAATCGCCAAACATGATCAAATTAGTGGGCACTTCCAGATGACAGATTTGTCTCAAGTATATAACATCAGCTTGAGTGCAGATCCTCGAAAAATTTGCTAAGTCATAGAACGGTGCACAGAAGTGGACATCAAAGAAGAAGAGGGTAACGTTCCAGCCGCAAGAAGTGAGATGCAAAGAACCGAAGAATTCGATTATAGTCGGAAGCGGCAAAATGGAGCTTCTGGGCCAAAACGTCGATGGGGTTCGTCCATGGAGGCTCGACTCTGGAAAGACAGCCATTCTCCGTCGGCGAGTATGTCTTACATTGATGAGCTCACGGTCTTTGTGTTAAGTCCTTAATTTAAGTGAGGAAACTATTAAGGCCTTAACCACCTTTTCGCTTAGATTAAGGCCTTCTATTCAATTTTTCGCCATGCATTAAACTACTTGTTTATAAATTCCCTCACATATTGACTCCGTCGTCCGTCCGCCGTGAAGACCCAACCTTCATATCATTTCTCCGTCGTATCTTTGTCAAAAGTTATGTTCTCAAATCTTCTAATTAGTGATATAAACTTGAATGCGAAGATGTATATCTTAAATGGAAATGAAGACTGAATTTGAATCGTTCAATCCTAGTCAAGTGACGTCTTGTCTGATATTACAGTTATATATACTACATATTAATAATTCTTTCTGATTGTTTTATCTTATTATACTCTAGTTACAAACAAAATCAATTTTCTCCTTATAGAGGTATTAGGATGGTGTGGCATGTAATATAGGGAGATAGAATGGCATAACATTTTTCTTTTGGATGTACTATAGTCAAACAGAAAGACAAAGCATGGCTCTGTCACTTACCACCTCATTCTTGCAAGCTTATTGTTGACGTCTTTTTCAGTGCTATTCAAAGGCACTAACTCGTTAATTCATAAAAAATTAAGATGAAGATATGTGTTTTCAGCTAAGAAGTAAGTTTTCTGAAATTTACCCAAAAAATCCCATTTTTACTAATTTTTTTTTGGCAATGATTCAAATATGTTACTGATTTCATGATATGGTCAAACCTTTAAATTTCAAAGAAGTATACTAACTTATGTAACATATATAAACTTTACAGAAAAATTATGAACCTTCAAGTGTCATTTTTTCTTACAGTGAGAATTGAATGGAATGTACAATCTATATTATATCTTCTCAATTATTAGAAACTTGTGATTCGTTTATAAGTATTTATTCAAAAACTAAATTTTGTAAGTTCTTAGTGATATATCGCAATAAAAAAAATACCATTTAGAAAAATGGACGTAAATAAATTATACCAGAACATTTATTATACATTTTTCCCTTGTAAAATAAATCTAATCAAGTATACTTCAAAATTTGATCGTTATCATGAAAGTGGATTATGTTTTATTCTCTAATGTATTTTTCATACATTAAAATATCATTATACATGCTAATTTTATGATGATTTGTTTCAGAAATCATCCAATCATGGATCAGATTAAAAAATCTATGTGTAATACAACGTAGATCGACAGATGTATATAATGAATTAATTACCCATGATTCAAAGGTTTTGGATTAAAATGATATTTTCTATTAATATTTGATAACAACTTAGTATATCATATAACGTTGATTATATTTATCTCAAACCCCACATTATATGTGTGAAGATCTTTAGTTAACTTAACGTGTAAAAAAATTAGTTTTAATTTTAGCAACCCTCAATTTAGTGTAGATTCGTGAATCTAATATAGAACATCAAAAGTGAAAACTGGATTTGTATTTCATCTCAAAGACTTACTGCATTATTATTTTAAACTTTTAGATTAGATACATTGGTTGGTGCTTTTAAAGTATCTACATAAAAAATATGATTCAAGTCTAAATCAAAAAAGTATAAAATCTTCTCTAAACTTGTTTGAAAAGATTACATATTTATATAAATTATATATATATAAATTTTTTATATATATATATATATATATATATATATATATATATATCTTTTCGTTGCTACATTTTCCATGCCGATTTTGAGTCCCAACTTCATAGTATTTGAAACAGAATAATTCTTTAAATAACAAACCTGTAGATGTAATTGATTTTAAGATTTTAAAATATTATTTATAAGTGCTAAACCATACATCACAAATTTTTATTAAATCTCTACAATTACTTTTCTTCTCATTACTTTTACAATATGTCTTCACATACATTGTTATTTTGAACACATTTTTGGAGAGAGATAGAAAATATCTTAAGTTTTTTACTTAAAAAAATTAAACTCACTATACTAAAAATTTAATTTATTAATCTTACTGAAATCAAGCAATAAGAATAAAAAAATTGAAAAATAATTCATTCAAAATATTACAACTATTTTTTTATTCTGAAAATTATAAATATGGGAAAAATTTAATCGATACATTATAATAATTTATTTTTCTTATTATCAAAAATAAAGTACGGTTTCTCAAAGCACTGAATATTTGACATACATATACATGTTCGTGAAAAATATGGTAAAAAGAATTACATCTTACTTGACGTCTTCAAGATAAAAATATTCAATACAAACTTAACCATATCTGCAAAGTATGGATGAAATGTTCTTGAAGATAAAGAAACTATGAGTACAACAAGATTGTATTTACATAAAAGTAAAAATTATTAAAGAAATTCAATAAACCAAAAATATAAGACTTTCAAACTTATCATTTTCAACCTTGATTGTCTTAAAATAAAAATTAATAATTTTTGCTTAACAAAACTTAAAAAATTGTTTTTCATGATGATTTAAAATGATTATGGATTAGTTGAAAATTATTCCAAAATTTAAAATGTAAAAAAATTAATGATTATTTAGAGAAATATCAATTTATTGACTTAAAAAAATGTATTTGATGTAACATCATATGAATTTACTATATGGGACCCCAGGTGAACGTAAACTGCTTGATGGTACCTATCAAGTTTTGTTTTATCCGTTGGGATCCCACCGATGGCACACCATCGGTGAGTTCTAATACGTGTTCTTGTACAAGATACTCCTTGCAAAAAAGTCAGTCTCGACCTCTAGAATTCAAGAAATATCATCCTCGCAAACAAAATCTCTCCTCATATGAACGAACCAGCGAACTGCTTGACCTGCTACTAAAAAACCGGAAGGGGCAGCGCTAGTGGAAGCCATCATGTTCCATCCATCGAATGGATAATTTCGTTGATTAGATTCTTCACCGCGCGGAGAGAGTATCAAGACAAATATGATCACCCACATCCAAAATTCTTCCACCTTCCGATCACAATGTCGTAGGACGTACTACGCAGGTACTTCCTTCCTACTCTAAGTCTCCGAAATGAAAGCCCTGCTTGCGTGAGCCTTGCAAATTTACTTCGTCAATCAATCCGACAGTGAGCTAGTCAGTGTGTCAAACGATCGATCGATCAAACAATCAATCAATAAGTAAATCAATCGCTCCTCTTCCAACTTTCCTCCATCTACTTCCTTCTTTGCTTGCTCGCTTGCTTGCCCGCCTTGCTCCGACGGAGCTCTACGGGACTTGGTGGCAAACTGGATTCGATAAGTCAAATGAGGACGGTTGTCGTGCGAATACATATCGCCATACACTCTACATCGCTGACATGCTACTCACATACACATACGCACACACATACACACATATAAGGCGCGAGAGAGTACACACTCAAATGTCACAACTGAAATAAACGGGAGATTCCCCACTGGAATTCCCGTCGGTCAATTACCCTACTGGCAACAAACCGTCACCGTCACAAACATGAGTCAAGCCCAACCCACTCCACACTCAGAGAATCCAGGTCGACGCAAAGGGGAAAGTCACTCTACGCTCCCAACGCTTCCAGGCTCAACTCGAAGAACTAACGTTCTTCGAGCCGTCCCCGACTTTATACCCCTCGAGACCCGAACCCTAACTTCACGGCTAAATATAGTAAGTGTGTAAACTTTCGTGAGCCGACTCGTAACTACATGACAGCTGTCGTGCGAATACATATCGCCATACACTCTACATCGCTGACATGCTACTCACATACACATACGCACACACATACACACATATAAAGCGCGAGAGAGTACACACTCAAATGTCACAACTCGCCCCCCTAGCTGGTGGTCAGGTCCCTCTGACTCCCAAGTAGCCCCATCTACAACTACATGCTATACACCTTCGTGGGTGCGCGAACCAG